GAGAGAGAGAGAGAGAGAGAGAGAGAGAGAGAGAAAAGAGAATTTGAGAAAACTTACGATTGATTTATTATAACATTAATATGTCTTTGATCTTTCTCGTTCCAGACACGGACCAAACGCTACGTGCCCCACTCGGAGCTGTGGCGGATTCTGGCCGTGGTGGACGAGCTACAGAGAGAGCAGGCGGCGGAGCAGCGGCAAGAAGACGCTCTGGCGTTGGCGCTACGCTCTGATATCGCCGGCGGCGGCGGCGGCGGACAGTTGGCGGACAACGTTCGGTGGTTTCCGGAGACTTACGACTACGGCGCGCTCGCCGATCGTGACGTGGACAAGCGGGTCTTCGACTCTCTCGGGGGGTACGAGGTGCACGGGTTCAAGAAGCGGGGAAGTCTCGACGCCATTCCCCAGGACACAGATGCTTCTTCTGACAAGCGGGCCTTAGATTCTCTTGGCGGGTTTCAAGTTCATGGGTGGAAACGTGCGCTAGACACACTGGGAGGTTTCCAGGTGCACGGCTGGAAGCGCGGTAGTGGCGCGGAAAAACGTCAGGTGGACAGATTGGGTGGCTTTCAGGTTCATGGTTGGAAAAAACGAGCTCTCGACTCGCTGGGAGGTTTCCAGGTTCACGGGTGGAAGAAACGAGGCACCGGCGGTCAGATGCACGCGTCATCTCCCCGGGTCGTTCCCTGGGGGAGTCGGAGTCTGCTGGCCGACACCCAATCTGGACATCGGTGGAAGCGGGACACGGAGCTCGTGGAGAATCGCCAGACCACTGGTCAGCAGACGGAGGTCAACAAACGGGCTCTGGACTCACTGGGAGGGTTTCAAGTCCACGGCTGGAAGCGGTCTGGGGAAGCGGGTAAACGTCAGGTAGATTCTCTGGGAGGTTTCCAGGTGCACGGGTGGAAGAGAGCAGACGACCAGGGGAAACGGGCTTTAGACTCCTTGGGTGGTTTTCAGGTACATGGATGGAAAAGGTTTGACAATTCAGCAGGAGAGAAAAGAGCCCTTGACTCGCTGGGCGGTTTCCAAGTGCACGGATGGAAGAGAGCTGGAGACAAAAAATCTTTAGATTCCCTGGGAAGTTTCCAGGTACATGGTTGGAAGCGTTTTGACAACGACATCAGTGGACAGAAACGATCCCTGGACTCGCTCGGAAGCTTCCAAGTGCATGGGTGGAAGAGATCAGATCAGGATAACAAACGTGCCCTAGATTCTTTAGGAGGGTTTCAGGTACATGGTTGGAAAAGAGCAGATGACGACGGCAAGAGATCCCTAGATTCATTAGGTAGTTTTCAAGTCCATGGATGGAAACGTGCTGACGAAGATGATAAGAAATCTCTCGACTCATTAGGTAGTTTTCAAGTTCATGGTTGGAAACGTGCTGACGAGGATGATAAGAGGTCTTTAGATTCATTAGGTAGCTTCCAAGTTCACGGTTGGAAACGTTCAGATGAAGATGACAAAAGATCGCTGGATTCATTAGGTAGCTTCCAAGTTCACGGTTGGAAACGTTCCGATGAAGATGACAAAAGATCGCTGGATTCATTAGGTAGCTTCCAAGTTCACGGTTGGAAACGTTCCGATGAAGATGACAAAAGATCGCTGGATTCATTAGGTAGCTTCCAAGT